ACCTCACTAAACAATCAGGAGGAATTCCCTTGTTGAACTTTTGTGAGCAATTGGTGAAGATCATCTTTCAAATGTTACTGACTTAGAATGTAACAGTTCTATTCAATGATTAAATTCTGATTGTAGAAGGCACATCTGACCTCAAGGAAGCAAAATGTCTGTGAGACAAGAATTATAATTTATACATGCTCATTATGATTGAATGAGTAAAATATTAAGAAAACATAAAACTTTCCTCACTGTAGAGAAAGTTGTTGTTTCTTTTCCATACCTAGTTCTCATTCGTCATTTGTATATAGCTAAGTTAGAGTGGAAATTTCTCTCTGTATATTTTTAAGGTCAGTATAGCCTGATACGGGGACTTCGGTGGATTTTGGAGGCAATGGTGGAGCACAGTTCTGGTTCCGAAGTTTAACTTCAGGGACACTTAGAGATGTCTGACACCCACTGTAGATGTATAGCTCAATAAAACCAGAGCTAGAGAAAATAAATGCAGACACAATTTTCCCCCTGAATCATAGTAGTTTTCTGTAGGTGTCTCTAGAAATATTTAAAGTGGGCGAAACAGATACGGTTGAGTTTCCTTAGACAGTACAGCCTTACTGCCCCGTTTACACGATAACCTGGCTTTACCTCTGACAGCTGACAGTTATCGCGGATGAAAACATCCAGTGCCTCCCGGTGAGTTCTGGTGTCCTGCGGGAATTGGCTGCTGTGGGAGGGTCCGGAAGGCGTGGCCAAGCTCTGCGCGAGGCCCCTCCCACAGCAAGCACTGCTCCTATGGCACGTGGGTTACTTGATTTCCCGGCCCCCCACCCCGCGCCAGGGGGTCGAGTTGGGAGCCAGCTCCCACGAGTTGAGGAATACTCATCGTCAGCAACGGTGGGCTTTTTTGTATTAATTTACCCTCAGTGCCATGGGCATCCTAGGGATGTCTGCCATTCCCGGGCTCTAAAATGAGTGCTAATATCACAGCTTCTGCCAGCATTTCCTTAAATTCTCTCTCTCTTTTTTTAGTGAGTATCTGTCTTCACTTGGCAGGAAGTCTGAATCAAACACAAAGTGATTATGGAAATCACTAGTTATTGTAATGTCAGCAATACACACTCATTGCATACCTGGGCCTTTCTCACAAACGTAAGCACTCCGTGAGATAACTCTAAGGTTGGGCCGCAAATTGAGGCTGACCCTTTCCCCGCGTCTGTAGCCCAGGTGTCTGTCTCCTCGGCGTGATTCAGGTCATTTAGAATTCATGCTCCTGAAGGAAACTATCAGCCCTGCTCTTACAGATCATAAACACTAGATGGCAGCATTGCTCTTGTTTTCCAAACAGAGGGATCGTGAATTGTGTCATCGCCTCTTCAATCTTTCAGACAGAACATTCTCCAGACAGAAAATTTTGCAGTCACAGAATCTGCTGAGATGGTACTTGCCATGTACTCCCTGGTTTGCTCTGATATGGTTCCTGTTGTTGCAAGTTATAGGATTACTATTTTTCTTATGTGAATAGCAATATATTTATGGAAAAATTAAAGGCAAAATAAAATAAAATAGAAAAAAGAAGGTGTCTGTCAAGGCCTCATTAATCACACTAATATAATGGAATGTCATTAGCACTAATCAGCTTCAAAAAAAGTTGCTAAGAATGCCAGGCCTCTTTGAAATCTTGGTAAATGAAGAGCAGATTTGATACAAGTAACAGCATTCAGGAAAGCATTTTATGTCAAATATATATATTCTATGTTGTCTCCCACTATGTATCTTTTAAAACCTAGTAGAGCAGAGAGTTATATTTAAGCATTTTGACTTTGGCAGAAAGCAAAAGCAAGCCCAGAATACCTTGAAACAAAACTTGCCTCTCTGCACTCTCTGTCTTCAGGATTTTTCTTAATGTTCCTTCCTAATGACCCAGACATTTCCTTCTCTGCCAAACCTCCCTCTGCTAGTGCTCCGATCGCTCAGAGGCAGAGAGAGCCAACTGAAGGAAGTGCTGCGTCCCCAGAGAGGCCACCTTTTCCTACGGCCATCTCCCCAGAGCGAATAGATCCTCCAGCGAAAGATCAGGTCAGCGGGAGTTCAATATGTGCTGCGTTTGGACTCATTTCGCTTTATTGAAATCGGTTGTCAGCCTGAGTCTGGACCATATCCAGACTGACAGTTAATTCAGTCTCCACGGATGGCCCTTTCATCATTGACTCTAATGTAGTTCAGGTGAGGGCTTTTTGAGAATCAGGTGATTCTCAGGAGAGACCAGTGTGACTGCAGAGTCAGGGGGAGTCAGCAGGAGGAGACAGAGAGAGGTGATTGGGTAGGAGGCTAGGGGAGTCCTCCCTGAGACTAGACTTTGACCAGCCAATCATAGTCCTTCCCTGGGACTTGACTCTGGATCAGCTGCCAGGTGCCATAAATGTTCCCTCTTACGGGACAGGTTACCCACGGGGCAGCCATGACCCCGGCCTGTGTGGCAGAACACGACAGGTCTGTGGCCGTATCTTGGTCCACTATCCCAGTCAATTCTGCAGCCCATCGCAGCTGCAGTGGGCCCTTCCAGGTTTCTGCTACCTGAGCCAATGAGTCTCCCCCCTACCTTTTTTCACTGTGGTAAAATAGACACAACATGTACCTGTTTTGAATCACTGTTAAGTGTACAGTTCAGTGGCATGGACACATTCATTCACATTGTTGTGCAACTGTCACCTCCATCCATCTTCTCTAGACCTTCATCTTCCACTGGACATTGGAGCCCTGCCCTCACCTGGGAGCTGCCTGTGCAGGCCCACAGCATCCCCTGCCCCCTACATAGTGCCCCGACCCCCGCTCCCCCACCCCCATCCGCATGCAGAGACAGAATGAATGTGTGGATTTGGATGTTGTGGGGCCTAATGGAGTTGTTGTTGGTGCCAAGTGTGTCTGCACACACTGTCATGGTCATTGTCCCTGTGGCCAGGACGGCCCCAGTAGGGGAGCAGGGAAGTCAGCGCTGAGTCCCAGGCTGCCCCCAGCCTGCTTCCGCTCCCTTGTTGGGAGCCAGCAGCCAAGTCCTATGAGGGGTGAACATCTGAAAATCTCCCATGGAAAGGGCAAGGTGGCCACGGCCCATTGTGCTCCACTTTGCCGATCCCCGGAAACGTCAGTGCCCAGCGCCCTGAGGCCCAGCGCCCTGAGCCCCAGCACCCTGAGCCCCAGCGCGTTTGTGTGTGGTTCTGGCTGTTGGGAGGGCCCGGGCTGTTCAGGCTTTTAATTCATTCAAAGTAACAAATGAAGGCAGAAAAACCCTGTGGGACGGGAGATTCTGGGGGGTCCCCAGGTGCTGATGTTGGGAGCACAGAGGTGCTGGGAGGAAGGTCACCAGGAAAAGGCCCTTGCCACCCTGTCATTCTGGCTTTTGCAGGGTCCCCAGCAGAGGACATGGCAGCCCTCCCACGGGGCCTCTTGGTCAGGGCTGCATCAGGTTGCCTCTCCGGGCCTGGGGGACCCTGGAGGGGACAGGGCTGGGTCCATCAGGCCCCTGCCACTCTCACATTCCTCTGGGGCAGTTCTTGGAACCAGTTACTTCACCCTCTTCTTCTGTAAACAAGAGGCTTCTAAATAAGTGGTTGCCGGTGTGGCTTCACAGACGCCCGTTCCGGTGTAGTGTCAGCACGCCTTTCAGCTTGGCCAACCTGCTGGCTCAGGGAGGCTGAAACCCATTTCTCACTGCTCAGAAGCTCCTCTGCGACTATCCCAGAGAAGAATTCAGGTTCCCTGAGCCCCTCCCTCACAGCTGCACCCAGCAAAGTCTCCCCGGAAGCCCTGCCCCCAGGGTCTTTCTCCTTAACCATTTAGGTAGGGCTGGATGCACACCTGTTGGGTGAATGAACAGGAATAATGAGATGATGACTTGGCACCTGCAGAGGCCAAGCAGGACAGATAGACCGGCTTCCAAAGAAGTGTGATTGACAGGTTGCTCTGATGGGGAAGGTGAAATCGCCATTCCTTGCTCATTCAGTCACTCACCCAACATCCACTCACCAGTGGGGCTGGTACCTCAGGGCGGGGGCAGCCCCAGGTGAGGAGAAGACACTAGGGCACAGAGTCAGACACAGGCATCCCCACCTATTTGGTCAGGACTGGGCCTGAGGGAGGGACCCCGGGGCTAGAGGAAAGGTTTCCAGAGTTTACTGCCTTCTTAATTTCTTCACTTCAGGGTGGTCCTAAAAGTGAAAATATGGAACACAGAGCTTAATCACCTTCCCTTTGCCTCCCAAGTCTGTCCCTACCCTTGAGCCCCAACTATCTCAAGTGGACCCTAACTTTAGTAGTCCCTTCCACACATCCTCTCGCCCTGGGTCTAGTTCCCCATCTCCAAAGGGAAACTGCCCCAGCCTCACCATCGTCTCCCACGCCCATCATCTCCTTCAGGAAGTCCCCCACCAAGAACCCCGGAGGACCACTGAGGGGGTCCACATCAGGACAGAGCCCTGTGGGTTTCCTCCTGGCATTGGGACCTCTCCATGGCTTTAACGGCCTCTTCGAGCCCCGCGCCCAACAATGCGCCTGCGCATAGGAGGTGTGAAAACCCAAGCTCAGATTCAAACCCAGGTACCTGCATATTACACACAGGTGCATCCCTCTTCCGCCCTTACTCCCATACTGACCCTGCCCAATCTACTTTACTCAGGCCCAGCTTTACAAGGTCCTGACCCTAAAAGACAGGCCCTTTAATACCCTGGCGCAAATTAAGATCCCTTCTATCCCGCCCCACTGTGCAAGATCCTGCCCACTGACCTGCTGCAGCAACCTGTACGCCTGTACCACTCCAGACACCTTCCCAGGCTCGGCCTCTGCCCTGGCCCCGCCCACAGGGCCCGCCCTGCAAGGCCCTGCCCTGCGCCTGCGCCCCGGGTTTCAGGACCCTGGGCCGCAGCTTAACGGCCAAAACGTCTGTAACGGGTCCGGTAAGTCCGCTGTCCTGGGCACCTAGGAGGTTTCCAGTTGGGCAGGCCACCCACACAGGGACAGAAGCCCAGAGGAGAGAGGGTGATGAGGCCTGGAATGGAGGGCACCCCAGGTAGAAGGGGAGCCCGGAAGAGGTGCCTGTTCAAGCTGAGCTCGCCTGAGAGCCACGAGCGGAGATCAGAAAGGTGAGGAGACGTTCGCCAAGCACGCGGGAAGGGTGCTCCTGGGCGTAGGGAACAGCCTGGCGAGGGCTTGGAGAGGTGCTGGGAGCGGGGTGGGGCACGCTGGTGAGACAAATTCCTGGCATTGAAGGAGTGACCATGAACAAGGCAGTGGAAAGGCTGGAGTTGGCCTCCATCACAGTCGTAACTGCCTGGAGGCCACGCTCGGACCTCTCAGAGCGGCTTGTGATATAGCATGCAACCCAGGGGCCCGTGCAGTCATTCAACAAACACTGACGGAACCCCTACCTGGGGTGTATTGTGTCGCAGGTGGGAATTGGGGCAGGAGGGGCAGCACGGAGACCTGGGAGGCGATGGCAGCCTGGCCGGAGGACGGCCCTGGGGGTGCGCAGCCGCACCGGAGGTTTGAGTCCCTCATTCTGGGGGCCCGGCGGAGGTCCCCATACCCAGGGTAGGACACAGAGCCAGGGGCTGGGCGTTCAAAGCCCAGGGAGGGGGAAACCGAAGGAAGTGGAAGGTGACATTTTGGGGAGGGCAGACTTTATGGACAGTGTCTGGCAAGGGCTGGGCCACTGATGTGACCGTGGGCCCCTCTCCCCAGCAGCTCCACCGATGGGGGCAGCCTGGGCTATGGTGAGGACTTCCAGAAGAACAACTCAGGTGCATGTGCTGGGGCTGTTTGTGGGGTCTGTGAAGGAAGCCAAGGGGCATCGCAGAGGTGTGTGGCTGATGGGGAAGACCCGCCCCCTCCAAACGCATTGGACAGATCCAGCATGGGGTTCTCCTTGGGTTACAGATAGTTCCAAACCCCACAACAATGCTAGACTCAAGAACTGGGAGCTGCAGACCTGGAGTAGGCGGGCTGCCCAGGCTGAGCGAGCAGCCGCGGTTTTATCCCCTCTGGAGAAGGAATGGGTGTGAGCCGGCCTCCCGGGGCCTGGCCTCTGAGCCCAGGGAGTGGCCCAGGGTGGTGGTCGTTTACCCGCCCCCACAGCCCTGGCCAAGAGGCAGGTATTCCCCAGCGTCTGGGTTCCCCCGGGCTCCCATGAGCCCTGCTCTAGGGGATCACTAGGTGGTTTTGTGCCCTCTCCGAGGCCCCACTCTTGCTGACTTCAGCGTTCAGCTGGGAGGTAAAGGCCAACGACAGGACCTACAACAACCAGTTCAAGGAGCGAATTTTCCTGTTTTGGCGAAGGAAGAAGTACAAGGTGGGTGGCCCCAGCCCCACAACCCTCCCCTACCTCCTCCCACCCAGCCTACCCCTCCCCCTAATTTTATTGTGAACAAATTGCCAGTTTGGTGCTGGAATTTGTCCTGTGTTTCCTTGCCAACCCCCACCCCAGTTCATGGTAAAATGAGTTAATACTAAACCTTCAAAGTACAATGGGTCTATTAGGCTTTCCTGAAAATCCCCTTGCTTGTGTGACTCACTGGGAAATAGTGGGGTCACAGACCTGTTCAATGAGTCTTTGCATCTGGTACTGTTCGAGTAATGCTGGCTTAAGGCTGCACATGCAGCTGGCACACAGGAATTGCTGGTCTGAGGGCTTCACATTCAGCTGGTGCTCAGTAGACCTGGCTTGAAGCTTTGCATGCACTGGATGCTCAATTATTGCTGATTATGGCCAAAGGGCGGGGCAAGGCCAGGGTAGGGCCCTGGCCTGGGCAGCACACTAACGCTGGCTCTCATCCCAGGACAACAAGATCTGCACAGCCAAGTACAACTTCTTCTCCTTCCTACCCTTAAACCTGTATGAGCAGTTCCACCGAGTGTCCAACCTCTACTTCCTTTTTATCATCATTCTCCAGGTAGGGCAGGGGTCAGCACCTGTACACATAACCAATCCTTCTACCTGCTCAAATTGCCCCCTCCAGGAAGCCCTCCCTGACCTCCTTTGACACATGCTTCTATAAGACACACAGAGAGTTTAAGTGTGTCTGCACTGTTGGTTGATTGGTTGGGTGGATGGGGGAGATGGGAGGGTCAGTGTCTGTCTCCTCCCACACTGGGAACACCCCCATAGCTTCATCCCCACTGCCTAGCCCAGGGCCTGGCATATAGGAAGTGCTCAATATATGTTCAATGGTGAAGTTAATGAGTGACTCCCCCAGCTCTGAGGGGTCACAGCCCTTCCCCAGGATGGACAGCCTTGGTCACATGAACCCCCTTGGCCCCAGCCCACCATGTTAATCCCAGAGGGTGAGGAGGAAAGAAGGGTTGAGAGCAGGTACTTGGGACCTGCAGGCCACTTCGCAGCACCTGAGTGGCTCTGCCAGAGGAGCAGATGTCCATCCCAGGCAGCTCCCTCTCTCAGCTGGGTGGACAGTTTACAGAGCAATCCCCACCCAGTGTCTGGTCTGACCCCCTGCCTCTATCAATCCCATGAATATACCGTGAGCAGGTCCTATGCTGGACACTGGGGATCCAGCAGTGGCCCTGATACCCACTGTCATTAAACCACATAGTGGGGCCCAGGGATGGGAAGGGGACCCAACCTCGACCTAGGCTGGCCTGGTGTTCACTTGGAGCTCAGGCCTGAAGGGTAGCTGGGGAAATAGGGTTACCAGGAGGGGAGCAGTAAAGCTAAGGCTCTGGGGAGGGAGCAAGGTTGGCGTTCCTGGTGGATGTGGCCTGGGGCCTGGGCACACAAGTGAGACAAGTTTTCTAGGGAGGAGTTTTGGGTGGGGAGTGGAAGTAGAGAGGCAGTTGTCTCAAGATCTGTGTGGGGGAGGTGGCTGGCTTTAGGCCCAGGTGGTACTGGCAGGTGGGACACAGGATGCCAGGTTGGGAGGCTGGGTGAACGGGCAGGGGGAGACGGTTGGGAAAAATGTGGGGGCACGGTGGGTCGGTGTGACACGCCCTATTGTCAGGGCGTCTTCCCTGACATCTCCACGATGCCCTGGTTCACCCTCCTCGCCCCACTCATCTGCCTCCTTGTCATCCGGGCCATCCGAGACCTGGTGGACGACATTGTAAGTGGGGTCGAGGGACAGCTGGGGAGGAGATTGGATGCAGGGTGGGGTCCTTGTCTTGCTGTCGCAAGGGACAGGGACAGGTACCCCATGGCCCTTTGGTACTTGCTGTCCTTAGCCATGGTCCCAGTAGCCTACCCCCTTGCCCTGCCAGGATCCCTGGACAAAATGTGCTGGTGTGAGCTGGAACCATGCTCCGCACCTGGGCCCTCCTCATGGTGGTGTGGGGATGGGATGGGGGGCATGACGGGGGGCCGCCCTTCTGACCCATCCCTGTTGACTCAGGGGCGGCATAGGAGTGACAGGATCGTCAACAACAGGCCCTGCCAGATGCTGGTGGGGGAGAGGTGAGGCTTCTGGCAATGCGTGGGGGAATTCAGCTGAGGAAGGGGACTCTAGCACAGCTGTGTGGGGGGGGGGGGAGGTCATGTCAGGGTGGGGTGCCCAGCAGAGTGCCTGGAAACTTCCGAGCTGCCTGGACATCCTGGTTGAGGCTGATATCTGAGACCCAGCCAGTATTTATTGGATACTTGCTGTCTACCAGGCCTAGGGATTGGGCCCTGTGATGGGGACAGAGGCTGAGGACATGATTGGTAACACCTGCAGGAAAGTTCAGCTGAAAGGGGAGGCAGGGAAGGTCTGAAGGGACTTGGATACAGAACTGGGAGGAGAGGGCGAGGTTAGGGGAGGCTGGACTTCCTGTACAGGCTGACACCCCCATCATCATCCCCCGAAGACAGGCAGGGGAGCAAAGCAGGAGGGGCATCTGCAGGCCCCGCCTTCCTCTGTTCTTCTAGCTTGCGGGTGGCACAGGGGGCCAGGGGTTCAAAGATGGGCCTGGTTGGGGCCCTTTCCCACACCTGCTGCCTTCCCCCACTAGTTTTCTGTGTAAAAAATGGGAGGACCTGCGTGTGGGGGACCTGATTCGCCTGCATGATGACAACGTTGTCCCGGTGAGCTGGTGTCAGCCTGGCCCAGAACTCTGCTCCTTGGGGTGGGCTGCCTTCCTGCTTGTCTTCCCCCTGTCCCCCCTGCATTGCTGTTTCCTTCCTCCTACCCCAACCCTCCCCACCCAGGCCGATGTGCTCTTGCTGGCCAGCACGGAGCCAAGCAGCTTGTGCTATGTGGAGACGGCTGACATAGACGGGTGAGGTGCTGGCCATCAGCAGGGGGTTGGGGGCCTGGGAGCCAGCAAGGCCTTCACCATTCCCCAACAGCCACAAAGCGTGTCTCCTGAAGCCCACTGAGATGTTTAGGTCATTCATTCTGGGAGCATTGTGGGGTACCTGCATGCTGGCAGGGGTAATAACATTAAATCAGGTGAAGGGACCCACCTTCTTTGGACCAACATTTCTGGAGGCCCTACTGCGTTCCAGGTGTGGCTGCGCAAAGTGAGAAGGCCTGAGGTCTGGCCTCAGCCATTGTGAAACTGTCCTGTGTGACCTTGGGCAAGGCCTTCTCTCTCTCCGAGCCTCAGCCTCCTAATTGGCAGCTAGGCTCTGAAAAGGGGCTGGGGGTGCCTTGCCTGGGTGCTGCCTGTCCCCACCTCTTATCTTGATCTCCTTCTCATCATCAGGGAGACCAACTTGAAGTACAGGCAGGCCCCCATAGTCACACATCACGAGCTAAACAATGTGACGAGCATGGCATCCTTCCAAGGTGAGAGGCGGCAGTTCATCCGCCCCATCTGGGCCTTCATCTGCCCCTCCGTCTAGTGGGCATGAACGTTCCCCCGCTCACTGGGCTTTGAGGGGTGGTGATGGGGCCTGCTGGGGGGTGCTGGGGGTCGAGATAACTGTTAATGGGCCAGCTTATCCCAGCCCTGTTTCATGTCATTTGAATCCATGTAACAGTCAGGCATTTTCCATTATTGTTACAAGACATGCCACACCATTTTATCAGGCATTACATTTTATTTTTAAAACATTGACTACATTAAATCAAATATTTTTAATTGCTTGATCAAAAAGACAGTCTGTTGCATGCACAGAGACAGGGAATTGACCCATCTGTGGTGGTATATTCTTATTTTCTACCTGAAAAGTGAGATATTTTACACCTGTGAGTTACAACTCCTCTTTGCCAGAGGCCCAGCCGGGGGATACATCTTTTATTTTTTCTTGTCTTGTTGTGAAGACAAGTTACTCTAATTGGTGCTGGAACAGAATCTTTCTCTCAAACCACAGCCCTCTTGCTCCTGGCATTCAAAGACTGTGGCTGTATTTGTTTTCATTACATCTGAGGAAAAGCCTCTCTGACACGGAGGCCAGGAGTGTGCCCCCGGTGCTGGGCTGGGTCCCAGTGTCCCTAGCATGACAGAGACGAGGCTGGTGCACCCTCTCATGGAACTCACAAGCATTTAAGACACCATCAGCAGGCATCGATGCCTGGTGACCTCCCAGGATGGTAATCAGAAGGAAGGAGGCTCGGTGGGGGAGACCAGATCTGGCTGGAGGATCAGAAGAGGGGGTTTTCCTGAGGAGATGAGTCCTGCCACTGGGAGCAGCATGCACAAAGGTCCTGAGGCCAACAGAGCGAGCTTTTGAAGCATTCAGGAGAGGAGGCTGTAGGGCAGTAAGGTGGAGGTCCCAGGAGGGCAATTTTGGGGCAGTAAGAGGGTGGCTAGAGCCTGAGGGTGACAAGGAATGTTCCCCATACCCTGCCCCACCCAGCATTGTAGAGGAGTGGCCCGACCCAGCCGCAGGTCTTGGCTCCCTGATTGCCCTGTTGTCTGTAGGCAAGGTGGTGTGCGAGGAACCCAACAGCCGGATGCACTACTTTATGGGGCGCCTGGAGTGGGAGGGCAAGAAATACCCTCTGGACAGTGGCAACATCCTCCTACGTGGCTGCAAGATCCGAAACACAGACACCTGCTACGGGATGGTCATCTATGCTGGTACGGCTGCTCTGGGGCCTCGGCAGCATGAGCTGTTTCTGTGGGGGTGGGTAACAACCCTAAAGTTGTTGGCAAGAAGTCACAAGGCCAGGGCTTGGCTGTCGCATGTCTGCTGCCACAAGATGTGGGACTCCCAGCGTGGCTTCGATGGGGCTTGAGGTTCTAAAACTGTGGAAATGGACATAGTGAGCCAGTACTCTTATATGTAGATGGATGGGTGGCTGGGCAGGTAGGTGGATGGACGGGTAGAGGGTTGCGGTGACAAAGGAATGGAAGATGGGACAGGTGGGTGAATGGATGGATGGATGGACGCAAACCTTGCAGGTGTTGACACAAAGATCATGAGGAACTGTGGCAAGATCTATCTGAAGAGAACCAAGATGGACCAGTTGATGAACAGGCTGGTGATCCTGGTGAGCCGCCCAGAGCCCCTGCTCTTGGGTGTGTGGGGGGCACAGGAGATGGGAGGCAGAGGGGGCCTCCCCACAGACAGAGGCCCCAGCTGTCGTTTTTCAGTCCTCGGTTTCCCTCCTCTGCAAATGCGTGAGCCCGACCCTACAGATGGAGGTCTGTGGGCCAGAGAATCTTACAGTCCTGATAGTTTTAAAAAGTCTTTATCCTGACACTTTTCCAAACCCACAGGAGATAATAAAATGTTTACCTGCACTCCATGGACATTTATTTAATAATCTTAACTTCTGCCTAGCCAACTGTCATTTTAAATAGAAGTCATTTAATACATTTTAAAATAGCAGCTACAAAACTCAGCAAAACCCCTACAGGTCCCCGTCCCTGTAGACTGCCAGCTACCCCCTTCCAGTCCCCCGCCACCATCCTGACGGCAGAGCTTGGACGGGGGTGCTTCCCATCTCCCATTTGTCTTTTACACTGTGGTGTCTCCGTGCTGCTCTGGGTCCCTCCACACACTCCACCATCTTGCGCTTGTTGAGCAGATCTTCATGTTCGTGGTGCTGATCTCTATGGCGTTGACCTTGGGCTTCTGGAGCAATGTGACAAAATTCAAGGTCAAGCACTACTACATTCCTGAAAAGCACATGTACAGTGTGATCAGCAAGTCTTTCTTCATGTTCCTGAGCTTCCTCATCCTGCTCAGCGTCATGATGCCCATGGCCATGTTCATCATGTGAGTCCCTGGGCCTCCTCCCTACCCACTACTTAGCTTGAGAGAAGCAGGAACCCCGGTGGGCTCTGGGCCAGGGTGTGACCCAGCTTGTGTTCGCAGAGCTGAATTCATCTACCTGGGGAACAGCATCTTCATTGACTGGGACAATGAGATGTACTATGAGCCCCAGGACATGTCTGCCAAAGCCCGCAGCACCAGCCTCAATGTCCAGCTGGGCCAGGTGGAGTACATCTTCTCGGACAAGACAGGCACGCTCACACAGAACATCATGACCTTCAAGAAGTGCTGCATCGACGGCATTGTCTACGACCCGGATGAGGAGGACGCGCTACATAAGGAGAACGCCTTCCTCTGGAACAAATTTGCCGACGGGAAGCTGCTCTTCCAAAATGTGAAGCTCCTGAGCACTGTACGTGAAAACAAGGACAGGGTGGTGCAGGAGTTCTGGCGCCTGCTGGCCGTGTGCCACACAGTGATGGTGGAGGAGAAAGACAGTGAGTGCTTCGCCGGCTGCTGAAGCCCTGGGGCTTCTGAGTCTGTGCTCTGGCCTTAGAGGTCGTCCAGTCCAAGCCCAGGGCTCCCGTCATTCAGCTTAGAGGGTGCTCAGGCCTGGGGCTTGAGATCTGTTACTGAGCTGGGAGAGGGAGGGTCATCTAGACAGGACCCCAGTGCCCACCTTCTTTTATTCGGCTTAGAGGTTGTACTGGCCCAAGAGACCATTGTCTTGTCAATATCTGGTAAACACCCACTGTGTTCACTTCCTTCCCTGGGCATCGAAGATGGGTGGGGGGGGGTCCCCAAAAGAGACAGCAGGTTCTCAGCAAATGTACCCCTCTCCTGTCCTGCTCCCATGGTCCCCTCCCTTGCCAGACCAGCTGTTTTATCAGGCAGCTTCCCCTGATGAGGAGGCGCTAGTCACAGCAGCCCGGAATTTTGGCTACGTGTTCCTGGCACGCACGCAGGACAGCATCACTGTGATGGAGCTGGGGGAGGAGCGGGTGTACAAGGTCCTGGCCATGATGGACTTCAACAGCATCCGGAAGCGGATGTCAGTACTGGGTGAGCACCCTCGGCCCAGGATGGGGGTGGGCATGCAAGGAAGCGCTTATGGTGAGCTAGGATTCTCCCTCCACAGTCCGAAACCCCGAGGGCTACATCTACCTCTATACCAAAGGCGCAGACACTGTTATTTTTGATCGCTTGCGTAGGAAAGACTTGTATAAGAAAGAGCAAGCCATGCAAAGGGCCACAGAAGAAGCTTTAAGTGTGAGTTCCTGTGGGAAGGGAGGGTGGAAGGGTTGAGGGGTAGAGGGAGGAAGGATAGAAGAGGTAGAAAGAGGGAGGGTGGAGGAAGAGGGAGCTGGCCAGGCTGTGCTTTTACCCTTACACACAAGGGCAAGGAGGAGCTGAACTCCATGCTATACCCACTCAAAGGGGGCACTTTTTTTTCCAAGTGACACAAGGGACCCTCTGTGGTTAGGCTTTGGCCCTGGACACCAGCCCACCCTCCCACCAACCTCTCCCAAGTGGGCCTGGATTCTGACATGGACCCAAATCTTGTGTCTCTGTGGGTGAAGCCCAAACTGCTCAGCAAGCTTTCGAGGCTGTGTCTTTGTGTCTCCTGCTGGCCTCTCTCGACTGGCTCTCCTTGCACCTTAGGGCATTCCCCAAGACCCCAGTTTCTGGCTTGCAGTTTTCCCCAGGCTCAGGTCCCAGGACCTGAGCACACACTGTTCCCTCTGCATGGATGCCTTCTTCCACTGTGTCACTCTGGGTCATATGGTCCTCAGGGCTCCACCATTTCCAGTGAGACTTTCCTGCCTGACCCCAACATGGGCTGCCATGCCATGCCAGGTTCCTCCTCTATGGCCCAGCCCTGACCCTTTGGGTTACCCAAGGGTCTCGCTGGGTCCCCAGCCTCACCCAACATAGGTGTCAGGGGGCATGTGTGTGCACAGACTGCCCTGGGCTCCCTGCTCAGGACTTCTCAGAGTGCCCTGCTCTGCCAGGAGCCCAGGCAGAGGGAGGAGGCGCTGAGGGAAGCGGTGGCAGGAGAAGTGCCCTGGGATGCAGCGTGGTGACAGGGTGGCACCTCCCGCCCGGCTGGCCCCAGTCCTTTGCCGAGGAGACGCTGCGCACGCTGTGCCTGGCCTACAAAAAGGTGGATGAAGACATTTACGAGGAGTGGCGCCACCGGCACGAGGAGGCCACCATCCTCCTTCAGAACCGGGCCCAGGCCCTGCACCAGGTGTACGAGGAGATGGAGCAGAACCTCCAGGTGGGCGAAGCACTGGAGGCTTGGGGGGCTCCGGCACCCTGCTCCGGCCTGCTGTGGGACCCTGGCTCCCCCACTCCTACCAGGGTTAGCTGGATCCCTGCTCAACCTGTCCTCTGTCTCTCCACACCACCCTGCCTCCAGCTGCTGGGAGTCACAGCCATTGAAGACAAGCTCCAGAACGGCGTCCTTGAGACCATCCAGTCCTTCAAGAAAGGGAACATCAAAGTGTGGGTGCTCACAGGGGACAAGCAAGGTAGGTCCCAGGTTGGTCAGTGATGGGTGAGAGAGAACTCATATGCCCCGAGCGCCACCATCAGACTGTCCTGCTGGTCTGGGTTCAGTCGGAGCCCCTACCTTGTCCTGGGGAAGGGAGAAAGGAGACGATCAGACCTGCCAGCATCCCCCAGGCGCCTCCCTGAGGCCAGTGGCACCGTGCCGAGCGCTTTCAGAGTGTTTGGCTCTTGGGACAACACCATGAGTTGGGACCCTTGTTACCCTTGTGTGTGAGATGGGCTCAGCTGAGTTCGGAGCCCTCAGGGCGCCTGCTGGAGGCACTTACAAACAACGCTGGCATGGAGCCTTGGGTCCTGTGGCCCTGGATCACTGATTCTCCCAGCCCCCACCGTGGGTTCTTTGGGCCCCACCGGGCATGGGGGCCAACAGGGTCCACATTAGCTCTCATGTGGGTGGGAGGCACATACACAATATTTAAAATGACATTTTATAGCTGTGTTGGTATAAAGTCAAATGTCCAGGCTGGAATACATACTCACATTTTTATTCTGGTTTTAAAATTACTGGTAAGTCAGTTTTGCGGGTTCCTAAAAGTGCCTGTGGGTCCTACAGTGATAGGAGTACTGATCCCTTGGCGACAGCCCCAGCCAGCCAGAGTGCAGACCCTTTTGCTCAGAGCTGCCGCCAAAGTCTCAAGGGCTGGCTCTCATAGGCCTCTTCTGAGCCAATCGCCATAGCCAAGGGATGGAACAAGGTGGGTGGGCCTGGTCCCTGGGCAGGGGGCTGAGCTGGGCTGTTTTGCAGAGACCGCAGTGAATATCGGCTTTGCCTGCCAACTGCTCTCAGAGGACATGCGCATTCTGGATGAGGAGGACATACGGTAAGGAGTCGGTAAGGAGTCAGGAGTTGGGGCAGACGAGCTGGGTGGGGGCAGGGTGAGGGTTGGGGGATGGTGAACACACATGGCTGCCCAGGTATGGCCCTGGGGGCCTGCAGAGTGTCCTCAGCCTCCACCTGGCTGGACTCCCCAGATGGGAGATACCTGCGGGGGAGGAGGGGGAGGAAACGTGTGCCTGGGCACGGCTGAGCCCCCGCTGGGTCCCTGCAGCCCGCTCATGGAAGCCTGCCGGGAGACCTGCAGCAAACTGCCGCACGTCAGGATGGCCGCCATGGTCGTTACCGGCGAGTTCCTGGTCAGTGTGGGCTCAGCCCGACTGAGGGGCCCCTGGCACATGGGATGGGGCTTGGAGAAGCAGCTGACTGCGGGTGGGGGTGGACTTTCAGAAAAGCCAAAGTGAATGCCATGCCAGGAGGTTCTCAGAGGGACTAGAGCCCATGTGGTCAAGTCCAGCCTGGGGTTTGGAACAGGAGGCAGGAGCGGCCAGTGGGGGCGTTCACAGATGAGAGGGGTGCAGCCAGAGTGATGTGCTCCCTTTGCCCGCCCCCTCACCGGACAGGACCAGCTGGTGAAGAGTGCAACACGGATGAAGCCGAAGAACTCCATCCCCTTAAGGGGCCCCGAGGTGTGGCGCGAGCGGGCCTTCGTGGAACTGGCCTCGAAGTGCCAAGCAGTCATCTGCTGCCGGGTGACACCCAAGCAGAAGGCCTTGATCGTGAGGCTGGTCAAGAAGTACTATAACGTGGTGACCCTGGCCATTGGGGATGGCGCCAATGACGTCAACATGATTAAGAGTGAGCGGCGGGCACCGGCTCTGGGGGAAGGCCTCTGGCAGGCTGGTAGTGGCCCCGTACCAACACGCTGTCTGTGCCCCTGCAGCTGCGGACATCGGCGTAGGGCTGGCAGGCCAGGAGGGCATGCAGGCGGTGCAGAACAGCGACTACATGCTGGCCCAGTTCTGTTTCCTGAGGCGGCTGCTGTTCGTGCACGGCCGCTGGTCCTACATGCGAGTCTGCAAGTTCCTGCGCTACTTCATCTACAAGACGCTGGCCATCATGACGGTTCAGATCTGGTTCGCTTTCTACAGTGGCTTCACTGCCCAGGTGCACTGCAGGGGCAGCCGTTTGGGGATGCTTGCTGGTGGGGGTGCTGTGCCCTTCCCCTGGCCTCCACGAGGATGGGGGCACTGCCCACTCACACTCTGGAGTCCTCTTGGGCCAAGGCTTGCCTGAGGTCGCAGGGCCACGCAGCCTTTCCTATGGCTGCATAGAGTTCGGATAAAGGGAGGGGACGGTTCCTTCTCAGCTCTGTGCCCAACATTTCAGAGGTATTTGGTAGATTTGAGCTCTGAAGCAAGGGTAGGTCCTTCTAGGGGAGAGATGGAAAGCCTGAACCCCAGAGAAGGTAAAACTGGGGGGGGGGGGGGGGGGGGGCTGTGACCCTGAGCTCAAGACATTCTGTGCAGTATAATGGTGAAGAGTAGATGGGCCTCCTGGCGCCTTAGAAGACTCATAGGGTGGTGATTTCCCGTGCGTGTAAGGACATCATCTGCAAATAGATGGCCCTGATAGGGAGCAAGTTCCCTGTCACTGATACCTGGGCATATGAGAGGGAGCTTTATGGAGGCACCCTTGAAAAGTATATATTGTTTTATTTATTTATTTATTTATTTTTGTTTCTAGATATTTTATTCTTTTAGATGCTGCAGTGCATGGAATTTGTTTTCTTAATTTCCTTTTGGGATCGCTCATTGCTGGTGTGTAGAAATACAGATTTGTGTGTGTGTGTTGATCTGTGCCCCGCAAATTGCTGATTCTTTTTATTGGCTCTGGGAGATTTCTGGCGAATCCTTTGGGATTTTCTGCATGCCATCTGCAAGTGAACACAGTGTTTCCCTTTACGTCCTTGCCAATTTGGACACATTTTATAACCTCTTTACCTGACTGCTCTGCTAGAACTCCCGGGGATGGTGAGGGCTGGTACCCGTGTCTCCTTCCCAGTCTTAGTGAGGACAGCATTCCATCTCCCTACGTTTGGGAGCTGGAATTCTTCTGTAGGAAGAACTGGCCAGTCCTCATCTCTCATTTATTTATGAAATTACTTATTTGTATCAGTAAGGATTCCTGGGTATTTTTGATTGTGTATTTCACTGCTCCAGGTGCCCCCAGTTTGTCCTTTTGACGTGTGCCTACTTTTTCCCTGAGAACAATCTTCATTTTCTGGTGCTACAGGAAGTTCCAAGCTCATTTTGTTTTTCCCTTGCCCCAGGGCTAGAACCAGCCACTCCCAGAAGGAACTCCGGTTCTTGTCATCAGAGAAGGGCAGGGTTCACCCCAAGAGCTAAGTGCTCGGCATGTGCTCACTGCTCCTGGGGTGCTGCTACCGTCTCAGCAGGCAGAACTAGAAATGTACCCGTGTTAGTGCATGGAGAGAGACACATCTCCACGTCTGTTTCTGTTTCTGTGTCCACCCATCCGTCTGTCTTGTGTACATTAAGAAGCTATGAGGACCTCTGGTACCTCCGACCCCAGCCCCACAGGACAGGGCTCAACTCGGCTTTTCCCAGGTGCTCATTCATGACTCTCCTTGAGCAGTGAGAAACTTGATTCTTGCAAAATCAGTGTTTGTTACTGATTTGCTCGCTCGCAGAATGCTCATAAAATGGTTTTTGGAACCGAACACCCGCCCCCACATCGTTTAACTGGACTGGATTCGTGCATCAGGAGGGCAGTTAGTTGGGCACGTTGTCCGGTGGGGGTCTCCTCCAGCTCTTGTACCCATCAGTGACTCCCTAAGTCTAAAATGGCCCCAAAGCACACTTTGTAGCCGTCTTTCCTCCTGTAGCTCTTTGTTTGCAGCCCTCCAATTAAAATAAACACTCAAAGGTGCTGTTTTAAAATAATGAGACCCTGCTTCTTATCTCTTTCTGCCTTTCATCTTCCAGCCTCACTTAACCCAATCTTTGATTATAACGGAATTTTCTAACTCACTGGGAATTCTCCGCAGGTGCTGAGCTAGCTTGGGTGGGCCTCCTCAGGTAAAGAACATTTCCATTTCTGGCCATTTGGCATCTGACGGCTCACCACTAACCACATTCGCCCACCCGTTTGCCTCCCTAGCCACTGTATGAAGGCTGGTTCCTGGCACTGTTCAACCTGCTGTACACCACCCTCCCGGTTCTGTACATCGGGCTCTTCGAGCAGGTGAGCAGGCCAAGGACTTGCCCCTCCTTCCTTGTAGATGCTCCTGTCTCTACCCCACCTTCTTCCCTGGGGGGCTTCGATAGGGTGGGGTGGAGGCAGGGCTGGGAGACCACTACCATGTAACTGTTCCCACAGAGCCCAGCCTGATAGTGCGTGAAGCCCTCTTGCTCAGCTACCGTCCCCAAATCTCAGTGCCACCGTCTGTTCATCTGTACGACAGTGGGGAGGGGACCACTGTTGTCTGCTGTTCACCCGCTGCCTCCCTGAGTGGGGTCTGGCTATGGGATCCAGATGAGGGCAGTCCCGTGGAACGTTTAGGGTGGAGGAAGTGTCTCAGGCCTGTGCTGTCCAGGCGGGAGCCACCAGCCTGCCACAGGTGGCTAATGATGGGGATTTGAGGCATGCCTGGTGTGACCTGAGGAATGGGACTTTGTATTCCTTTTTTTAAAGTTTTTAAATGGTGGCAACATGCCAGTAACTAAGTTCGCCATCTCATTGTTCTCGTGTGCATGGTTCAGTCATGCCAAGCACACACGTGGCTGTGAAACCAACCCCGGAATCCCCCACCCGCCCCCTCCCCAGGATGTGAGCGATGAGCAGAGCCTGGAGCTGCCCCAGCTATACATCGCTGGCCAGAAGGATGAGTTCTTCAACTACTGGGTCTTCTTCCAAGCCATTGCCCATGGCCTGACCACCTCCCTGGTCAACTTCTTCATGACCCTGTGGATCAGCCATGACACTATTGGGCCCCTCAGTGACTACCAGTCTTTTGCCACAGTCATGGCCCTGTCGGGCCTGCTGTCCGTCACCATGGAGGTAGGCAGGGCTGCTGCCCACCCCCCAACCAGGACTGTGGGCACAGGTCATGGAGGTTCCATCACCTGGTGACCCTGCCTGAGAGGCCTCAGCAGGTGCTATCCTCCAACCTGCTCCCCGTGGCCTTGCCTGGGGTCTGGCCCCACCTGGCTCAACCCTCCTTTTTCCCATTCAGGTCATCCTCATCATCAAGTACTGGACCGTCTTGTCTGTGCTGGCCATTTTCTTCAGCCTTTGCTTCTATGTGGTCATAACTTGGACCAGCCAGAGTTTCTGGCTCTTCGCAATGTCCCCCAAGACCTTCCCTTTTCTATGTGAGCCCCTCAGCAGGGGATAGGGCGGCCAGGCCCGGAGATGGGTGGGCCCTGAGTCCCCAGGGGATTTGCCCAGAGGCACCCTGGGGGTGCAGGGTGAGGAAGGGCTGGGGTGTTGGGAAGAAGGGGCACAGAACAGGCTCTGGGGAGGCTTCACCCTGGGCCCGGCTGTGACCCTGCCCTGTCGCCTCCAGATGTTGACCGAAACGTGATGTCCCACCCCTCCATCCTGCTGGTGGTCCTGCTGAATGTGTCATTAAACACCCTGCCTGTGCTGGCCTTCCGTGTCATTTACCAAGCCCTCAGGCAGCTACGTCCCAAGGTGAGGGTGGTTGGGCCCCCCAGTGCATATTGCTGGAAGTGAGGACTCCAAGGAGCTGTGGAGCGGGGGCTAGGGGGGAGGAGACCCAGACACACACCCTGTGCCCTTGAGGCGGGGTGGGGGGTGGCAAATAACGGGCCCCAGGACCTAGGGAGGAAACCATGCTTCCTGGGCAGCCGGCCTGGTTCCAGCCCTGATGTCATCAGACCACCTCCGTGAGCTGTCGAGGACTTGGGGGCTGAGATGACAGAAACAACCTGGAAAAGGTTTGGGCAAAAGGGGGACCTTAGAAACACCCCTGAGCGTGTCCATCAGTAGGTGAGTGGATAAACACGGTATGCGGTTCATCCACACAGTGGCATTTACTCAGCCTTTAGAAAGGAGGAAATACTGATGCTCCTACCTACAGTGTGGATGAACCTGGAGGATGTCATGCTCAGTGACATAAGCCAGTCACAAAAGGACAGTAGTGTGTGATTCTAGTCATAGGAGGAGGCCCCTAGAGGAGTCAGATGCATAGAAACAGAAAGTAGACGGTAGGAGCCAGGGGCTGGGGGAGTTGGTGTTTAATTGGGGACAGCATCAGTTTGGGAAGGTGAAGTTCTGGAGGTGGATGGAGGTGACGGTTGTGTAACAATGTGAATGAATGTGTCCATGTCACTGAGCCGTACACTTGAAAATGATTCAAAACAGATACATGTTGTGTCTATTTTACCACAGTGAAAAAAGGTAGGGGGGAGACTCACTGGCTCAGGTAGCAGAAACCTGGAAGGGCCCACTGCAGCTGCCATGGGCTGCAGAATTGACTGGGTAGTGGACCAAGATATGGCCGCAGACCTGTCGTGTTCTGCCACACAGGCTGGGGGCATGGCTGCCCCATGGGTAACCTGTCCCGTAAGAGGGAACATTTATGGCACCTGGCAGCTGATCCAGAGTCAAGTCCCAGGGGGGACTCTTGTTGGGTCAACTTGGGGAGGGAAGAGCCTGGCCAATAAAAGTGGCCAAGAATTTTATGAATGACACCCACTGGGAGCAGCTGACCCAAGAACAATCAACACAGTGTAGGAGCCTGGTGCCCCTTGATTGCCCCTTTTCTTTGCAGGAGGAGGAGGTGGAGGAGGAGGAGAAGGAAGAGGAAGTGATGGAGATCCCAACTGAGGAGATCATCACAGCACCACGTGCCCGGCGGTCCAGCTATGCCTTCTCCCACCAGGAGGGCTACGCACACCTCATCACACAGGGCACAATTCTGCGGAGGTCCCCGGGGGCCCACGGACAAATGAACCCAATGCAATCTGATGAAGAACTCTCCACCAGCTTTGATGTCATCTGATGAATCGTCTGCAGGCATAGCGTCACCCTGGTACCAGTGGAAGGCGCCAGTCCGGGGGGAGAGGAGGTTCTGGCACCAGGGGGGGAGGTGTCCTCGGGGACATGCAGCCCTCCTTCGCAATGAGCCCTGCTTGATGCTGGAGGGAGGGGCAGCCCTCTTTCTTTTTCCTCTTTGGTATGTGTAATAATGAAAAAATTAATTAGGCCACGAAATCTAGAAATTCATACTGTTTTGAGTTGGTAAAATGTTTTTTTTGAACACGTATTTCTGAATGTCAATTTTTGTGTAACTCTCACACAGTGCGAGGGGGGACCACACACCTTGGAAGGTACTCGCATGCTCCTTTAGAAATTGTTCTAAAAGGAGGCACAGTTTGCGTTATCCGGACCACCATAGAGGTGTGTTTTGAGCTTTTTACAGAATAAGGATAGACCAGTTTTCCTTGTATGACGGAAAGAAAACCAGACTTCTAAAATTCCAGTAAATGACAGACTTAGAAATTTAGGCCCCTTTCTTCTGAGATCTCTTTTGGCAATCATTGGAATTTCTTACACTTACCCTTACATACACACACACACACACACATCCTGGTTGAAGACTGGATTACCCTTCTCACCTAGAAGGCCTTAAAATCCCCAGCAAATCCCAGTTCCCCCAGGGGCTGGGGCAAGAGAGGGACCCTGGGGCTTAAGCTTTATTAGCTTCATGGTGAGCCTGTATGTGCACCTGTTATATCCTCACATGAAGCTCCAAGTACTGGCAGTGAGGCAGATTGGGACCCCTGGGGCCTGCGGGCCGCAGTGCTCATTGGGGACACAAACTAGTAACACACTCTTGAGGTAAAAAAGGAAAACTCACTGATTTGAGCTGTAGCTTCTAGATAAAGTAATTTGGCAAAACTTTCTCAGGTTTTTAGTAATTGATGTTTCTTGATAATGTGATTGACTTAAGGACATTGTTTCTTGTGCTGTGTTTATGGCACCCTTAGCTCTTTCACTACTTTTAACTCCAAAGACACATTTCAAAGCCTCTTTCCTAAATACAGGAGAATTAATTTCATCTGTTTTCAAACTATTACTAGAACACATCATGGAAGATGTGTGTGCCATGCAGATAAATATGCCAGATATGTTGGTTTCTCTACAAAATCACATATTCTATTCTTATAAAAATCTTACTCAGTAAATGCCAGTGTAACCCTTAGTTACGTGAACTGAGGGCATGAAAACCCCAGTATGATAAGGAGTCATGCTATTCTTAAATTACCCATATTTTGTGATAATTCATCTCTAAAATTTTTAAGAAGTTTTAAACAATACAACATCAAAATTTTGTGATCTCCAGTATCCTCATTATACTAAGAGTCTGACAGGTGCTTTGCAGTGTGTGGATTTCCTCGAAGAGAACTACAGGGGGCTAATCTCTGCTCTGTGTGCTGGTCTCACCAGTGAACGCAGCCTGGCTCTGCTCAGGATCCTCACCCCTCCAGCTGGTCCACAGGGTCTGCTCACTGATGCCTCCCAGCAAATGCACACCCTATAACCTCTGAGTCATGTCATTGGCACGCTGTGAACACCCTCGAGAATCCAGGAGAATGCCAGGCAGCTTCTCAACCAGTGTCAGGGATCTCCATCTTTTCTCCTTGTGCTTCCCCAGTGAGACTTCAAACAAAGAAACAAATGTCCCAGTTAAGTCACTTTCTCTGTATCCATTACCACCTGCCATCACTTCTAAATCATACTTCTCAAACTAAGTGGGACTGTGTGTCCTAAGGGCCATCTTTCCATTTATCACATGCCAGGGAAAGAGGACAATGTGATAAAATGATAAAATTACACAACTTATTTTCTCCTTTAGTGAGCTTTTTTCCTAGAAACTTTCTTCACTAACCAGATAAAGATGAACCAATGCACAAAAATCATTCTGAAGTTTTGAATATTTAACATCCTTGAGAGCTGCAGTTTTGGGCCATACTGCCCCCTAGAGGTCTTTTGTGGCAAGGCACAGACTCTCTGGGTCCCTGAAAGAAAAGGTGGTTGTGTATTTGACACATTGATACATTTGTTGAGACACATCTTTTGAGCTCAAAGATTTTTTTCATATCCTGTTGAAATTGCAAGAGGAAAAAGCGTGAGAATTCCTGATTATTTGTTGAGAGAATGAGAGGCTTCTTCTTTCTAAAATTCAGCATCTCTCACCCCACCCCTACCTCTCAAGTCTGCATTATAAAGTAAGAACTGTGTCCAACAGGGCTACTGTGGGAAATGTATCTAAGAATTGGTGAAAGAAGAGCTATTCTGCAAGACAGAAAGAAAAATTCTTGGAGGGGGAGCACCCACTGGGAAGTGGGGGTCAGCCCTGCAAGGATGGCAAAGCTATGGATTCCCCAGCAGAGGGAGCCAAATGCTTCAGACAGACCGCACATTTGCACTGTACGTGGGAGCTAGCCCCTTCCCCAGGAAATGCAGAGAGCATGCGCACAGAGGGAAGGGTGATTTCAGGAGGACTAAACTTCCTGCATACCTAATACGATACCTAGCAGCTCAGAACACCTCTAGATTTGGGATTCTGCTATAAATATGATACAGTTACTTTCAGTAGCTAGTGAAGCAAGGGGAACTTGACTTCATAAATAATACTTTGATAAGTCATTTTCTTTTTATGTTTATATATAATATTTTAGCATAATATAAAGTCTTGTTCTCTAATATTTAAAATTTCAAAAAATCTAAACAGAGCACTATACATTATAAAAGGGAAAAACTTTAATATTAAATGTTTTTACCCCAATCAGAAAACAGCTGAGTCATAAATTTGAATCAGTTGCTTGTTGCCTTTTCAGTTCTAAGTAGATCGGAAGACAGAGCAAACTTTGACCATCAGACTTGTTCCACTGTTATATTTTCACAGATTAAAGTGCAGAGAATAGACAAATGGGACTACATCAAACTAAAATTTCTTTATACAACAAAGGAAACCATCCAAATGAAAAAGCAACATACTGAATGGAAAAGCATATTGTCTGGTACATCTGATAAAGGGTCAATATCCAGAATTTAAAGAACTTACACATCTCAACACCAAAAAAACAAACAATCTAAGTTAGAAATGGGCAAAGGACCTGAGCAGACACTTCTCCAAAGAGGACATACAGATGGCCAATAGACATAATGAAAAGATGCTCAACACTAATGATCATAGAAATGCAAATTAAAACCACAATGAGCTAACACCTCACACCTGTCAGACTGGCTATCAACAGTAAATCAACAAGTGCTGGCAAAGATGTGGAGGAAGAGGAAGCCTAGCTCACTGTTGGTAGGAATGCAGACCGATGCAGCCACTGTGGGAAGCAATATGGAGAGACCTCAAAAAATTAAAAATGGAACTGCCTTTTGATCCAGTCATCCTGCTTCTGGAAGAATATCTGAAAAAAACCAAAACACTAATCCAAAAGAATATATGCACCCCAATGTTCACCACAGTGTTATTTACAATAGTCAAGATTTGGAAGCAGCCCAAGTGCCCATCAGAAGATGAGTGGATAAAAAAGTTTTGGAACATTCACACAATGGAGTACTATGCAGCTATAAACATGAAGGAACTCTTTCCTTTTGTGACAGCTTGGATGGACCTGGAGATTATTATGCTAAGTGAAATAAGGCAGTCAGAGAAAGACAAATAATGTATGATCTAATACCTATTTCTAAATGTCTCTCGAGACAGGGAGATTCACACATCCCCTCCAACTGGTGCCACGATAGAGAATGCTGCAGCTGTGTGTGTGTGCTAGTGTCACAGCACCATGGTGCTCTTGTGTCTCTCTCCCATCTGCGTGGGAGCATGCCAGTGACAAAGAGGAGGGCTCATGGTCTCAGTAGCCTCGTGGCAACAGGACAGAGCATCACCAGAAACACGGCAGCCGCAGCCCCATCTCCATGAATGGCCCTTGAATATGCCTGTGTCTGTACAGGTACCTGGCTTTTCATCCTTCAAACCCCATTTGTGTACAGAAGATGTAGTCTGATTTTGCTGAAATATGCACAGTAAGTTCTAGGTTGGGAAGGTGGAGGACAGAAGTGCAGTGAAGCATGGCTTCGTTTTTCAAAGTGATGCACAAACTTGTCCCTCAAGCCAAGAATCAGAATCAGCCTCGTGGTATACACAAGTACGTGAAAGAGAAGAGAGATGAACTGTGAAATAATGTAAAAGAAAAACTTACTCTTGCATATTAAATTATAATTCTTTAATCAGGAAGAATCTCTTAAGCAAACAACCAAAACAGATTAAAATAGGTCCTATTTTATAAAGTAACTGGAATTTGGCCCGTGGTACTCTCTGTTTGTTTTCTGCAGTATTCTTATGTCCAAAGAGAACAAAGCTGATTAAGCTTACAAAGCTGCAAAGGGAAATAATAAGCTAGGAAAACAGTTCCTCTTAAACAGTAGCAAGAAAAACAAATAATTGATATCAGTTAGCCTTTTCCATCATGGCCTATTCCTGAAATGAACATCTGAATACAAAATTATGTAATAATTATTGAAGCTCATGAGAAACTCCATGTTAGATCAGAACAATATTCTTACAGGTTTCATTCTGATATTCCAGTTGCCTACACTTTCCATTAACAAAATAGCCATTGGATGTAGGTTTTCCTCCCCTACCCCCAAAGAATAAAACTGAATTAGTAGTAGCCTGTACGAGTGGGACCAAAAAGAACACAGGCTTTGGGATTCAAATGACCTAGGTTTACATCTCAGCTGTTTTGCTTAACAGTTAGTTATGTGGCTTGGACAAGAATCTGAAAGCCTCAGTCTTCTTACTTATAAAATGTACAGGATTTGCAACATTTCTGTGAGAACAGAAAAACAATGAGGATAGTATAATGGTGCAGAGATGCCTTGCTGGAGATTAAATTTGCTTTTTTAGAGAGTTGCTCTTCCTGATTTAGCTAGTACGCCGGCTACAGAAAAGCTTCTTTGGTTCCCCAACTGAAGAAT